GTTTATGCCACCAGGGCATTTAACCTTCATTGATTTGTTTTTCAAATGTGGAGTAGCTACCAGCTGCTCTGATAACAAATAAACGAAACCAGCAGAATTGCTTCTCTGTGGACACTCAGCGCCGTGGATAAGGCTCTCCCTTCTCTGAATTGTGCCTCCCCACGCAACACGGGCTCACGCCCCCTTTACAATGTCTATCTAATCTGTCAGACTGTCTTGTCGATGGGATCCGACAGAATCGTTTCTGGAGAGTACACTGCGGGCCACAGGCAGGAAGATTTTTAGTTTAAGTCTTAAAAGATAATCTCGGGGGCAATAGTCCCAGGGGTTCATCCATTTCCCACAGCTACAGGAAGCCGGAGTCCACGGCCATTCGTCTGTTCAGCATTTCCTCCCTGTTAGTCAGAGTCCTTCCTCGGAATCTTTGATCAAAATGCTCAACAATGATAGCCAGGCACCATCCAATTCTTGGGGTCCCTGGCACGGGGGGCAGTTCTTTGTGAAGGCAGGTAGACAGACTTGCCATATTCCCCTTCTGTTCTGGATTCTCCCTCTTCCTCTGGTGGCTCCCAGGAACAGAGACATGACTGCTTGCTGACTTGTAGGGTCCCCGGCCCCAGGCACTGGACTGTACGCCAGAACTGAAGCACGAGACACTCTCTCAGGCCTCTTAGCTGGGCTGTCCCAGGAAACCATGACCCCGGACACCAAACCAAGGAACTAAATCCCATAAGGTGGCACACTTTCCTTTTTAATCCAGAAATTAGCTAAATGCTATTTTACATTTTTTAAAATTAGACTCACTTCTGCAGGGGCTCTACTTTAAAAAAAAATCATTTTAGGGGCTCTACTTTGGTGCGTCATTTAGAATTTTGAGATTTTAATCAAAGACTAGGTCTGTGTGCTCTGCTCTTTGGAATTGAGCGAGAGGCTTTTTTCTTGAGGCCCTAAGAGATGATCTTTTTTTTTTGCTGAATGTCCCATGTATGTTTTAAAAGGCTGACTAGTCTTCCAAAGTTCACTGATCTAAATATCTATTATATACCTTGTTGGATAATCAAGCCCTACAGGATCAGTGGTGTGAGTGGCGATACTGGGAGGGTAGAGGGAGAGTGGGTTGGAAAGAGGGAACCGATTACAAGGAACTATATGTGACCTCCTCCCTGGGGGACGGGCAACCGAAAAGTGGGTGAAGGGAGACATCAGAGGGGGCAAGATATGACAAAATAACAATTTATAAACTATCAAGGGCTCATGAGGGAGGGGGGAGAGGGGAGGGAGGGGAAAAAATGAGGACATAATGCCGGGGGCTTAAGTGGAGAGGAAATGTTTTGAGAATGATGAGGGCAATGAATGTACAAATGCGCTTTACACAATTGATGTATGTATGGATTGTGATAAGAGTTGTATGAGCCCCTAATAAAATGATTTTTTAAAAATCACAGTCTTGAGGGGGGCGGAGGAGCAGGGAGAGATAGGGAAAAATCAGGAGCTGATATCTAGGGGTCAAGTAGAAAACAAATGTTTTGAGAATGATGATGGCAACATATGTACAAATGTACTTGACACAATGGATTATGTATGGATGGTGATAAGAGTTGTACGAGCCCCCAATAAAATGATTTAAAAAGAAAAAAAAAGAGGAGGAAAAGTAAAATTAAAATGGACTTACATAGTTTCGAACCAACCAAACCAAACCCCAAAAAAGGAAGTCAAAAAGAATGTCAAATATGCTCACTGGCTTCCAACTCTCTGGAGGCCCTGAGATCATCATTAAACTTCGAACAGAGACTATCCCCAGGAGGCTTCTGAAAACCAGGCAATGTTGTTATCCGGTGCCGTCAAGCTGGTTCTGAACCCAATGGACAACAGACTGGAACGCTGCCCCATCCTGCACTGTGTTTGAGCTCATTATTGTGGCCACTGTATCTGTCCATCTCCATGGAGGGCTTTCATTTGTTTTTCTTTTCATTTATCTCCTCCTCCAGGGACTCGTGCCTCCATGACACATCCAGAATACTTGAGGGGATGTGCTAGTTACATGATCTGGTGTCAACTTGAGACTATTAAGAGTGGAGGGGTGGGGTCTAGCCTGTCAATCAGGTCACAGCCAATGAGGCCTCTGTGTGGGCTTGACCTCCTCCTGAGGATTCTGGGAACTCCTGTTTTCCTCCTTGGAGGCAGGATACATAATCTTTGCTACACATTCCTGTTGACAAACCACATGGAGTTATGCTGATGGAGTCAGAGTCCTGGAGCTGGAGGAGCCACATGGAGACCCACGCTAGTGCTGAGATGCTTCCACTGCCACTGGATCCACAAGACTTTCCACCCACTGGCCTGTGATCTTCCTGCACACGGCGTCATTGCATGTGTTGCGTGAGTCTGAAGAGGACTTTATAGATTGGTATCAGACATATGGGCTAATATCGGACTTATGGATCTGGACAGGGTTGGGATGTTTTCTCAATATTTAATTGCTCTCTTATATAAAGCTCTTTCTGATACACACCCGAGAGTCTCTGGATTAGTCTCCGGACTAACACAGGTGAAGTCTTGCCACCCTCGTATGTAAGGAACACCCTGACTGCTGCTTCTCAGGCAGATTGGCTTCTTCTTCCAACAGCCCATGTGGCACTTGATATTATTTCTCAAGGGCATGAACAATGGCTTTATTTGGCTCCTAAAACCTGCCTTGAGGGCCATGTTCTTTGAAGACCAATATGGGATCCAA